TTTAGTTCGGAAGCCTATTCGATCGGTGTTCGCACATTTCTGAGTGAATAATCTATATTATATTTTCTTGTCCGTGGGGATTCTTTAACTGTGGTCCTGTAGAATTTGGTCTGTAAATCTCTAGAAGCAAAAAACATGTTAACACCTCTTCCAAACTGGTACATTTACTAGCAGGTTGTCTGCCACTTATTCTCAGCTCTTTTTCGCGTTTGTTTATTTCACATGGGAAAATTCAACCTCTTGGACCCCAACTTTTCATAGCTCAACAACCCTTTTTACCGTTTTATCCTTTGTTTAGAGACCTACTAGAAAGAAAGTCCTCATAAAATGTGACAGATATACGGTCGTGAATGACACCGGGGGACCGCTTCATTGCTCATTTATCCTCTTCACATTAGTATCTAAATCGGTTTAATATTTTTTAAGGATACTTAAATATACAATTTATTATTATTATTAATTAGGCCTTCAAAGGCAGACTATACAGAATAAGGAAAGTCTCACAGTCAGAAAGCATGTAACGCAGTGGAAGCGAGCCGCCTAAGTGACTTCATGTCCTGTTCTAGAACTACAGACGGCGCGCTTCCCAGCTCCGCGAATGGCCCATGTCTCTTGTCCCTAACCCTCAATGCGAGCCCAGCTCACGTTTGTGTGAGGCTTGTCCGGTTAAATCTTTGACTCCATCCGAACGCGTGGGTATCTTTAGTCCCCAGGGTCTGCAATTAAATCTATTTTAATTGCTTATATTACAGACTGTCAGGTTTGTCTGTTACAAGGGTAGATCGAGTTTGCGTAGACTTACCGCCACCAACAGTAGCTACTGCTAGCCACATGCAGGAAATGGATGTCCGTTGTAAAAATGCACTCAACTCCCCGTAGCACAAAGGGTGCTTTATTTTTCCTATGCTTAGACCTCGGCCTGGCAGTGTTTCTTTTTTAGAAGTTCATTGGCTCAACGCAAGCCTCTTCCAGGTGAACGATACTGATCTTTTACCACCATGCCTATTTTCCTATCCCTATCCTTCACCCTGTCGGCTCACTTGCAGTCCTGCCTCTCCATTTTTGACAGGAGAACCAATGTACACATTTAAGTCTGTTGCTAATTTCTACGATGCCATCCCCTCGACGCCCTGCGCAAGTCCCCTCAAAGCCGCCCAGCCTACGAAAACGGAGCAACTTCTTTCTCAACTCGACAACCTAGAGTCTCGTCTCAAGAGGGTCTCCGAGGATGCAAGATCTCTGTCCAAAGGGACTCAGTGAAAAGTCGCCCTTCTTCTTACCCCTTCAGCCCTGTTGTACACTCATTTAGTGGAAGTGCACTGCATTTTTCTATGCCTTCTTTACCGTGTTTTCTTTCCTGTGATGTACATTGTTTTGGAGATAGATACAGTATTATTATCTACCCCTGTGAACCTCCGTGTCTGTCGTTTTTTATTCTCCGTTGCCGGACTGTAACCGGTAGTATGCATTCCGCTGTTGTACTTTGGACAAGTGCTGCGACGCCGTTTATCAGAAAGTAGGCTTTTTAACTGTGCCTCTGGCATCCTTCCAAATCATCAACAGGAACATCTCATCTGTATTAGTAGGAGGGTTTCGGTAGACTTGAGTAATTTATTTGACCCAATTGTGAAAAGCTCGGTGGCCTCGGTAGGATTCAGACCCACACCAGCAAGGAGGAGGCTTTGGTACAGCCAACGTTCTAGCTAAATGAGCTACGAGACCCCCACCGGGAACCGTGAGTTAAATCAAACTTGAGTCAAGTTACCAGCGCAGCCTAGCGCAATTTATCGAGTTCACGTTACTGGAGGCAACGACATTTGATCAGAACTAGTACCAGGAGTTCGGGCTTACATTAGGAATTTAAGAAAGGCAAATGTGCATATCTTCAGGTAGTATTCGACCAAAAAACCTCGTCTGCTCTGCTCAACCATAATGATCAATATTACGCCTGAATGCTTGCTCATCTGGCCCACTTATGAAAAACTCCGTAGGATTCTCACCCACGCCAGCAAGCGAAGGCTTTAGTACAACCAACGGGGTTACGAGGCGTCCACTGGGAGCCGTGAGTTAAAAAACACTTCGGTTAATTTACATTCCCAGTCTACTGCAACGTATGAAATACACTAAATCGGATACAGTAAGCTGACTGCCCAAGTAAGATTTCCTAAGAAATCAAGCTAGAATCCGCCAGATGACTACCAAGCCCACTTAATTATTAGAGGGTTTTGGTAAATTCGAAACATTCATTTAACCTTGTTGTGTGAAGACTACTACCAAATGAGTACAAGCAGTAGTACTTCTATGTATGTTCTTTCTCTATAATATATTTTATTAGTGGGAATATGAAAAGCGCACCCTAAGCAAGTATCAATTTTATACAGAGGTAACCTTTGTGCAGGCGGTCAGGAAGCACGTTAAAAAAACCAGCATTCTGCGTTGACCTAAATATTTTGAGATAAGGTTGCATGATAGTGGGTAGTACAAATCTACTTAGGTAATTTGTTCGCATAGAGAACACACTTCAGAATTTTTACTGACATTTTGAGATGCTGCCGTTGCATTGAAGTCAGTAAACAACGGTTGAGTTAGTCAAATGAACGATGTTCCCACACAGTTGTAAATGAAATGTGTGCTCATACAGGAGCTTAGCCTACGCCTACGCATGCAGTTCTGAAAACCTAGGGATTTTAGTCACACGCTGCTGTGATGAGGCGACTGCCATCACACTGGAGAACACCTGGCTATCTTTGGGACAGCATAAACATAGTAAACATGCAGTCTTATCGGTAAATTTCAGGGTACTGCAGACTGAGCAATACCCGTACATCGAACAAACGTTAGTACACGACTGCTCATCCAGACGACTTACAGCGTATCAAACAAAAGTTCTGCAACAGAGGTACAACGGGCACCGTTCTGGCCACATTCCTTGCCTCCTTCGACCCGGCTGGGGCAATCAGCTTCCTGTATCATAATTGGAGGAATCCATAAGTTGCGGTAGGCTGGACGAGTAAATTGACCCATGTGTGATTACAGCCACGGATTCCGGTGGGGACCTCGTAACTTATTTGGCTAGAGCGTCGGCTGTACTAAAGCATGGACTGCAATCCCACCGAGACCGCCGAATTTGCCAAAAGTGGGTCCAACGAATCTCATCTGCAGTTCATCGCGTGGAGCAAGGATCTGCTTGGCATTCCTTCGCTCCGCAACCGAGTTATCTAATTCCCGCCTAGTGCTGAAGGTGAACCAGGACTTATAGTACACCTTACCCCAGCAAGTTGTTAGGCGGAGCCTAACAGCCAGCTAGCAGCCAGCATGCAAGCAGCGAGCCGCGCTCGCGGCAGGCT